TCATGTCTTCCAAATGTGAGTTTTCCATGCAGCTGCATGGATGAAGAAATAGGAAGCGACGAAGGAGAACAGTGCATTCCTAGACATTTCTCGGTCCTGGGGGTGTGATTGTTGAATGAGTGGCCAAAAATGTGTTTGTCACATGTCTTCTAATGCTTAGTTTCCCAGGATTCTGTCTGTGCCCCGGGTCCTGGCGAGTGTTTTATCAGTGAGTTGCATAGAAACATGAAAGATAAACCTAGCCAGTTTTCTGATGATACAAAGGTGAAAAGGAGTTAGGAGACAATTACAATTTCTAAAAGCCTTTAGCAGTCTTTGGCTGATTGGGCTGATCACAGTAATTTGTAATTTAATAGGGATGATGTTAAAATCTGTCCTTAAAAGTCAAACAGAGAAATACAAGAAGAGGCTTAGATTGGCAAGAGGTTTTTTAATGTATTTAGTACAGAGTCTATAGGGTCTCACTATATAGATCAGACCTGGAGTGATCCTCCTGTTTTCAGTCTCCCAAGTGCTTGGATTACAGGCAAGAGTTTTATATGAAAAAGGTGTAAGAATTTTATTGGACTGCAGGAAACATAGGAGTCAGCAGCATGATGTGGTTGTAATTAAAAGAGGGGTTAGAAAGCAGAAAAAGGACAGTAATCTTTCTTCTGTGTGTGACATATTAGATAACATGCAGAATATTACAGTCAGATATAAGGGCCAGGTTTAGAAAAGATGTTGATAAATTAGAGTGGATCACTGCAGAATGGAAAGAAAAAGGAAGGCCAAAATTTAAAAGATCCAAAAGATAATGTTGTCTATAGATTAACTGAAGAAAATTTAGTATGTCCTGATTATTGTTGAAGTTCCCATGTGGAAGAGTAAACTTGTATATTTTGCTCTGAAAGGGGAAATGGGATTAATGAGAAGAGTTTATGGAAACAGGTTTTGGCTCAACAGAAGGAAAAACTTTCAAATAATTAGACTCTTTCAATGATGGAAAGAACGATTTCATGAACCATGCGTTGTCTGTTGTTGGAAATAGTCGAACCAAGGCCAGATGAGTGTGTTGTTTGCCTGGGATTCCAAAAGATCCCAGTGTGTGGGGGGAAAAAAAAATCCCAGTGTGGAGCAAAAGCTAGAGGTAGGTGACCTTTACAGTCACCTCCAACTCCCCTGGTCTATGACTTAAGTCAGCAGGAGTGCCAAGGCTGCTTATGACATGCCAGAGCCACTTTTTCAACTCTTGGCTGCGGTGCTGACCAGCTGTGTGACCTTCAGCTAAACAAAAGTTAACTGTCTCTTCACTCCAGTTTCCTCTCCCATTAAAATGAAGGAGCTGAATTTAGTGTTGTCTAGGTTGCTGTTAGTGCACCCATCCTATTACATGTTGAAAGGAGACTTGGGATTGATACCTGCCTTTTTCTAAGTCCACTTGCAAGGAGATGGCTTAAAGAAGCATACCAGTGGTGATTCTGGGGCCTTTGATCTAAACGCTCAATTTGTTCATTGGCAAGAGAGAGAGATTATGAACCTAGAATTTGTTCTCTAGCAAGAAGTTGATCAAATTGGGAATCTGACTCCTCTCAAACACTTGTACATTCTGCCTGAGTTCATACGCCTTTGCAAACAACTTAAGAAAAATGAAGATCATTTTACTATTGCAATGTATTTTCTTTTACAAAGAGAACCTTTGTTTTTTATTTGCTTAGTGATACAATTGCTGTTGAATTTTGTTCATAACCATAAGAACAAATACCCATAAAACAAGCTGCTGTGTAGCAAATTTGTTCTAAAAGTTTTGTATACATAAATTCATTCAATGGATTTATAAGATTTATGAAAATCTAATGATGAATCTGTAGGTTAGGACCACCCCATGGTAAGGAAGTGGTTAAGAATCTTATTTTTCTGTCTTAATGCTCAAGAGCTGTTATTCTCTGAGGCTTTATCGCTAATGACTATAAATTTTCGCAGTCCCTTTGATTACTAATAAATTTCTTCTCTGCTCAGGTTAAGGTGCTTCACTTCTACCACCATTACATTCAAATCCTTTCTGTCTCTTTGACTTTTAAGCACACATCACTGTCTTCAAAGTCTCATTTCTTCAGTTGTTGTTGTCCCCCCCCCCTCCCCAAGATCATTGGCTCAGCAACCATCCATGCAAATCAGGACATCCTTGTTTGCTTTAGTATAGATCAAGGAGGTAATTGACTGGATTTAAAATACCTCCTCTAGTTTCTGAGGTCAATAGGAGAAGAAATAGGGCAAGTTTTACTTTTTGTAAGGAGGTGAAGAATTGTTTTTTTTTGGCTGGCAGATCTGGCTGTATTCACTCCACCCAAATACAGTACCACATTTTCTTCCATCTCCTCCTTCCCTTAGGTTGGAAATGAAAACAGCTGTTAAAAATAAGAGCACATGACTCAATCTTGAATCGCAATGTAGTAATTACAGTTTCCATCTCATTTGGTGAAGCCCCTCCCAGCGCCCTGAGCACATATTGTGATCCCATTGTGGGGAGAATGCGACCAATGGTGTTGTCAGTTTTATAGCAAGATCCTAACTTTTTGTTTTCCAAACCCCTGAGGTTAAGCATTGAATCAGTTGTTGAGCCAAGAAAAATTACAAGGCATAAAGTACTTTGGTTTGAAAACCTGATGCTTGGGACATGCTCTTTTTCTGGTTTTTTAATTTTGATTAAATCTCTCTCTGGAAACTAGAAATGTCAGTTCTTGGTGCACATTTTAGAAAGTGGTGTCTCTGGACTTCACAGTACTTTTGCTGTGGAGGTTTTTGTTTGAAGTCTTTCAGAGGTTATGGCCTGAAGTGTATTTGCTCTTCCCCAAGTTCCTGAGCTTGTGATTTAGCAAGTATATCTCAGGAGAGCGCCCCCTGCAGATGGTTAACTGCTGCCTTGCTGGGCAGGCCGAGTCTCCTTTAGCTCTGCTCCGTCCCCTGCGCCAGGTGGCGCTTGTCTGTGTAATCTCGTTGTTCAAATCTATGATCGTGCCCCCTGCGGGTCAGCGCCGTCAATTGACCAGGCCAATATCACCCTCTGAAGATCACATCCTAGGCCAAGAGATCCTTGTCACAAGTCTGAGCCCAGCCTGGGCAAGTTCCTAACCTACCGAGGTCCTGGTCTCAAAATGAAAAACAAAACAATGGTTTGGGAAATGCAGCCCAGTGTGAAGGGCCTGGGTTCAATTCCCAGTACTGGGAATGAATGAATGAATGAATGAATGAATGAATAAATAAATAAATAAATAAATAAATAAACTAACTCTGTGGCCTATAGCAGGAGAGGCCTTAAATTTGTCTCTTGCTCACTGGATTTCTCCATTCTAAGATTTGTTTTCTTTGTCATTTGATTCAGTTCCTTCTTTCCTTCCTTCTTCCCTTTCTTCTTTCTTTGTCTGTGATGTTGGGATCAACCCCAGGGTCTCGTGCAAGCTGACCCCAAGCTCTGCCACTGAGTTCCATGTCCCTGATCCAAGTGAGATTATTTTTAAGTTACTTTCCACACTAAGATTTCTGTAGTTCTATTATTACTGTATCCTCCAAGAGCTAGCTACACGTGTTGGAAAGGAAGAAGCATGAGTGGAATGAGTGTGGAATTTGGGAAGGGCCGTTTGGTCCAGTTCTGTCCCTCACACCCTAAAGGCCACCATCGGATGTCTATTCCTTTATTGTGGGATATGGCTGCCTAGATAAAAGGTTACTTGAAGTCCAATATTTTTGGAGAGACAAAGCATACACTAGCATGTGAAGCAGTGCAGTGCAAGGACCAGAAGGAGGCGTAACGTCAGGCAGCCTGACTTGTCACCGGGCTCTGCCCTGCACTAACTAATTTTTGTGATTGTAGGCAATTAATTCACCTTTTTGTGCTTCAGTCTCTCATATGTAAAATGTGAATGATAATAATACTCTCTTCAGGGGCTGGGGAGATAGCTCAGTAGAATAGTAAGCACTTACCTGACAAGTGCAAGGTCCTGAGTTCAATCCCTGGCACTGCAAAAAAAGAAAGAGAAAGAAAGAAAGAAAAGAAGAGAAGAGAAGAGAAGAGAAGAGAAGAGAAGAGAAGAGAAGAGAAGAGAAGAGAAGAGAAAGGAAAGGAAATAATATTCTCTTTAGGAGTATTTGTTAGGTCTCCATGAAATAGGTGAGGTCTTTAGATGAACAGTATCTTGCTGCACAGGTGTTAGCAATAGTTGTCCTCTGTTGCAAAAATTAGCATACTATGTGATGGCCTTTTGATAGGTATCTTGTACCAGGTCACAAAGAAATTAGAAAGTGCCAGCCAAATAGCTCAGTGGATTAAAGCACCTGCAAGCAGGTGCAGGGGCCCGGGGTTCAATCCCTGGGCCTGCGGTGCCCTGAGGCATGCTGAGAAGACAATTGAGATGGGGCATGGTGGCACATGCCTGTAATCCCAGCTCTTAGGAGACTGTAAACAGGCGGATCAGTACAAGTGTGATCTAATACTGAGACCCTGCACACCCTGTATACCCTTCCCTAAAAAATACAAAAGAAAAAAAAAAAAAAAAGAAAGAAATTTAAGAGTTTTCACAAAAGGTCCTGTGGCTGGATGGCCTGTGTGAGGGAGGTGTTGCAGTTGGTAACATAAAGATAGTTGGTCTATGGAAGGAGAAAGGGAAACATCTCTGAGAAAGAGAAAGGCAGATGAATTTATATCTAGTACTATCCATTATGTACAGAAAATGGCAAAGTTAATCTACTAAGGTGGTGAGCAAGTAATGTGATCACTTAAAAATGAACTTTGACCCATGTACTTGCCTAGATTTTTATGTTTCATAATGTCATGCTTTTCAGTGAAGGGGAGCCTTTTAGAATTCTCAGTGGTGCAAACAGCCTGCCTGCAGCACATGTGCCATAGGTTTGCCACCACTACTGAAGATAATCCTAGGTCTCTGAACTATCACACTTGAAGAACTATGGAAGAATATAAAACAGAGGATTGCCCTTTGCTAACTGCCCCTTCCTCTTTCCTTTAGATTATATGAAGCAGAAGACATTTGAAGCCCAAGCCTTTTTAGAAGCTGTGCAGTTCTTCCGACAGGAGAAGGGTCATTATGGCTCATGGGAAATGATTGCTGGGGATGAAATCCAGGTAAGACAGGGCTCATAAGTTTGGAGCCTGTCTCCATATGGGTGGTGGGAGCTCAGGATCATCTTCATAAATGATCAGAAAAAGTGACAAAAATGAAAGATAGAAAAGGCTGGGGAGATAGCTCAGTAGAATAGGTGCTTGCCTGGTAAGTGCAAGGTTCTGAGTTCAAACCCTGGCACTACAAAAAAAAAAAAAAAAGAAAGAAAGAAAGAAAGAAAGAAAGAAAGGAAAGAAAAAGGAAAAACATTGAAAGATAGAAAAAAAAATGAATGAAAGATAGGGCTTCAAAGACTAGCTCTCTTATTGTCTGAAGCATTTGGTCAGCAGCCTATTAGACACCCAGTACAAGGACCACCAGACCAGGCAACACAAGGTAGCGTGAAACGCAGCAACCAAAAGGGGAGTAACCGATCCCTTCACTCCCACCCCCCATGTCTTTTATAGGCTTCTTCTGTGCTTTCAGGTTGGAAGCAAATGTGAGTAGTGAGGTATAGTGCAGTGTGTGAAGGGGTGTCAGGGATATCAGACCTCCATTTAAATCTTGCAAAATTGTTCAGTCTCTTTTAGTCTCAGGTTACTCCCTTCTAAAAGTAGGGATAATGAAGTTTACCAGATAGAGTTGTGAGTTCTAAGTAAAATGTTACTGAACTAGTATTTGGCATAAAGGTATCTTCATCAACTAACATATAAATGAACTAATGAACAGAAACAAATTTAAAAATCATTAGCAAGTTTTCTATATGCTGCATTTACCATTTCTTATTTTCTATCCTTGATGGTCTACTATAATCTCCCATAAACCTGATGGGGTTGTTTTTTTGTGGAATTGGGGATTGAACTTGGGTCCTTGCGCTTGCCAGGCAAGTGCTTATTCTACTGAGCCATCTCCCTGGCCCCAACCTCATGAGATGTTGATCATGTCCTGGGCACATTGGTGGGCTTGGTCTCATAAACAGTGCTGGAAATCCTAAAGGAAACTGTTCATGCTATGACCCAATCTTCGTGATGATACTGGTTGCATGGCTGATACAGCCAAGAGGATGCTGAGGATGGATGTATTCAATTATGGTATCACTCATTTATTCATTTTATGCATCTTCTGGAGTGTCTCTTTGTGGGTGGACTGGAATTTTTTTTTAAATTAGGGAACAATATTTGAAAGATGATAAATGGTTTCTTAGCCTCTATGTGGTCATTAAACAGCTAAAGCCAATCATTGTCGCTTGGTGAAGGAGCTGTTCTTTATCACTGTGCCACATGAAACATGAACTCCTTTTAGGATATATTTGAAATGACTTAATTTCCCAACCTGAGACTTATTTCAGAACTTTAAACAATTTTCAGAAACAAACATTTTGGGAAGCATAGCCATTTGTAAGTCTGATAAGATTAAAGAATACAGTGCATAAGCCTAAAATAAATAAAACAAAACATAAAAAGGGGAGGCTGGAGCATTTATCAGTGATTTACTTGTTTTATAAGGCAACACATTTAATATTAATATTAAATGTCAAAATGACTTTTTTTTAATAGAGCAAATTCTCTGCCTTAACAGTTGAATAAGTTGGGGAGGGCAATTATTATTTCTGCTTTGGAAATGAGAAAACTGAGGGAGACAAAAAAGAAGGTAAGTTGCCTAGTCTTTTCATTCAGTAACTATGTATTCAGCACCTACTATGTTCCAAGCCCTTTGCTAGGAGATAGTGATCCAGAAACAGACAGTAAAAGTTCCGGCTCTGTGAAGTTGGTAGTTTCATGGTCACTTGTTAAGTGGACAGGGCAAAGGAAGTGATATGTTTCTGCCTCCCGATTCAGTGGGAGATCGACACCCATGGGCTTATATTGAGTCACACATTTAGTTATTTCCATGAGTTCAGCTAATGCACTTGGTTAATTATTTTCTTTCACTTGAAATCTTACATCAGCTCACATTCATTCATGATGCCATTGAAAATAGGTTCTCAATAAATGCTTTGTGAGGGGTTGGATATCATTCTGTGTGTGTGTGTGTGTGTGTGTGTGTGTGTGTGTGTGTGTGTACTGCTTTTCCTTTGGGCTGACAGATGCTAAGTGCTATCAGATGCAAGAGAGTTAAATAGCTCATCTCTCTTGTGTTGAGGCCAGCAGACATAGAAAGCATCAAGAAGACAAGGCAGCCACATGTGTGTGGCTGTACATGTATACTAAGGTGTGTTCACATGAGGCTATCATAAGGTGTTAGCTAAGGTGCTCATTTTGCGGTATAAAAAAATGCTGTGAGCAAATAGAACTACAAAAAAACAGGGAAGAGCTCTCTCAATGCAAGAGTCATTAAGTGATGAGTAAGACATTTTGATCCACCAGGAATCTTAGTATCTTTGGTGAAATAACAGACTCATAAAGTGAGCTCTAGTGGAACATTTCACAATTACTTGTGAAGCACTTGCTAAATGAGAAAAAGAAGATTCAGAGAGTTTGACTGAAGTTAGTTTGGGACTGCAACATACTTTGTTTTTCTAAAATTATTTTTTATTTTT